TAAACCATCACCCATCAGTAGGCTGTTCTTGCTACCTGTCCTACAAGGAAAGTGATGTAAGGGATAAAACCTGGTTTCTGCTCTAATGGGTTTAAAATCTCAAAATAAGACATAAGAACCAACACTGCTCACTTTTGAATCATCTCCATGAATATAAGTATCTTAAAAAAAAAATTTATAAGTAAAGATTTACCAAAACAGGTAGCCAAAAAGACCAAAGATTCACAATGCCATGCGTGATCTGAGCATTGTGTACAAAGTGTTGCGTAATAACCCTTCCTCCCACTGCCTACTCTTATGGGCTAGACTCTGGGCTAAAAGATACTTTTATTGATTGACTGATGTGTTACTTATTTACGTATTTCTGGTTCATCCTTCCAATGATGCTGAGACATCATGATCCCCTTTCCATAGTTCAGTTGACTGAGACTTAGAACAGGTAAATAACTTCCAAGTGGCACAGCCAGGATTTCGCATCTGTCTGTCTTACCCGCCCACTCTTCTACATGGCTTCGTACCATATAGGACGGGGAATACTATCAATGATTTCAAGGAAGGAAACAAAAATCCACAACCTAGAAGCTCTAATTAAAATGAGACAAAGAGCATAAATAACATGGTAGAAACTGACTGCAGAGACAGTGAAATAGTATAAGGTGCACTTACTCTAATTAATGAAGAAAACAGAAATGATGGTTATGCTGTTTCTGAGGCCCCTGGGTAATTTACTTCTAAAAGTAAAATAACTGGTTTCATGTTAAATATTCAGTATAAGTCATTAAGACTTATTTTCTGATCTTTGTTTGCCTCAAAAGAAAGGTGAAGCCTTTCTAGTATGACTTCTGGGGAGACTCAACTTTTGTCAAAAAACTTGAAAAACACCAGGATTGTATTTATCACCAATTTGAGAGGCATTTGTTACCAAAGTCTCAAAAGCAGTCACATTTCCAGATTTAGTAAGTGAAACAGAGAGAACATACTTTTGCCTATAGTTTGGCTAAGAAAACATTTCAGCTGTAATGTACTAGAGGTTTTTTTGAAATCGTTTCCCATCCAGTCTCTGAATTTCTTTCTTTGGGGATTTATAACAATCACCAAACTGGATATTGTCATTGGGCCTGGTAATGTCAATCTTCTATTATTTATTTTGTAATTAAGGTGAAAAGGCACAAAGAGCAAGTAAAACTAAACACAGAATAAACTAACATGGGTTCAGTTGTGCAATACAAACAAATAAAACCATTCTTTCCTTGTCTCTGGCAAGGGCCACACGACCAGGAAGACAGACTGGAGTCCTCCCCACTATTCAAAGCCATTAGCCAGAAAGAACACAGTACTGACTATGTGCAAGGGGTCTGTCTTCCCCTCCCTTGAGGCCCTAAGATGGTGTCTTTGGAGGGACAAAAGGAGAAATGGGAAAGTCCTTGCAGACCTAAATATTTTGTATGAAATGAATGTAAAATGAAGGATCTTGGGTGCCTTTTATAAACCTGCAAGGCCTCTTCCCTCCCACTGAGAACCACTCATCTATAGAAGCAGATTTAAGTTTATAACCACCTGATTAAAGAAATCCTGCCTGCCAGAGAAGGTTTGAAACTGCAAAAAGTCAGAGTCAGCAGTATCTATTCAATCATCACCTGCGCCATCAGAAGTTACTGAACACCAACTGTGCGCAAAGTACTGTAGCAAACCTTGAGTGCGTCAAGTAACAGGAGAGAGAAGGATCCTGGCCCAATGTGGGACTCATGCCCATGCTGACTAGCATTCAAAAGTGGCTCAACAAGGCAAATGCCAGTGTTCAGTACACATCAGATAACTTTATCTTACTCTCCCCTAACTCAGAAGCTCTATAAGCAATTTGAAGGCAAGAACAAAATAGGGAGAGAAATAACAATATGACATAGACATTTACAAAGCACCCTCACAGACATTATCTCACTTTATCCTCAGAACCCTGTGAGGTATGTATATTACTTATGCCTATTTATGGATGACCTGGTAAGTGTCACCCTTGGGACCTGGCCTTAGGTTGTCTGACAACAGAGTACCTATTCCCCCTATTACATTTGTATTTGTTAAATGTGTACAAAACAGCATATAACAGTTTAAGAATTCCCACATCTTTTTTTTAGGCCCAAACATTAGTGATCCACATCTTTAAGGCAGAGCTTTAAAAAGTATCTAATATTAAGCGCCAGAATTAATTTAACACTGTTCATGAGAATAAAGACTGCTTTCTAGAATTACAAGAGGGATGAAGCAGTAGGAGATTGTGCTAAATTAGGTTCGAAAGCAAAACAGTTAAAGAGGCATTGTAATTGTCTACATCAGATAAGATGCCAGTCTCTTAAAATGGCAGGAGGCAAGGCCTTTTTTTCAGGATAGCAAAGCAACTCTGACTTAATTAGGTATAATGTTTTATTTCTTTTTTACTGTTAACAGGTTTTATTGCCACACTCCAAAACACATTCTAACTTTCAAAAGCCTTCTTTTGCAAAAGAGCAAAGCAAAACCAAAGCTCAAACATCAGGTTGTGATGGAGATAACTTAAACTTTGCATTTCATTCTTAGACATCATGTGTAACTATAATGCATTCAAAGTGGCTGAGCACATTTTGATACAGGCTGGTCTAACCTCCTTGCTAAGCACCTCCTGTTACTATCTTGTATACTCACATTGTTACAATGACTCCATATTTCACCTTTACCATTCCTTTCTAATCCAATCTTTTAATTATAATTTGCTAAGTAATACTAAAACACGTTTATTTTTTCTAGATAGGGCATAATTATTAAAAAGCATAATACTGTAGGAGGGGTATTCACTTGTGCAGGCCCTGGATAAGGGGAAAGACACTAATGAACAACAAAAACACAGTTCCTCAGGGAATTTGCTTAAAAGCTAGTAGGGACGAAAGGAAACAAGCAACTGCAAAGGATATGATATTTCCCTCTTAGGGAACTCCGACGCAAAAGGAGCACATGATATAAGACTTAACCTTCACACGTTTAAGGAGAACAGAAATCTAAGCAGAAGTTCCTCAAGCAGATGTGATGAATGCAGGTGTGTTTCAGGCAGAGAATAGGTATTAAGATCAGAAGGGCTGTGTAGAAAGTGAAACAGTGCTATAACAAAAGATAAGGAAAGGGAGGGGAGCAAGGAGCCAACCTGTGCTTGGCTTTGTTAACCATGTTAAGGGACTGGGTTTATCCTACGGGCAAACAAACAGTTTTCTAGATTTCTACTTTGTGAACATCCCTCAGCCTGTGCTCTAAAGAATGGAGTGGATGAGAGGGGCAGGGTGTCTGGAAGTATGGAGGCCAAGAAGGAGGCTGCTGTAGCCAGGTAAGAGCCTATGGTGACTTAAATCAGAGATGGAGAGAAGTGGACAGATCTGGTGGACATTTAGGAGGCTTGGTGGCTAACTGGGGAAGGAGTGGAGAGTGGTAGCTGAGAAGCCTGGTTCCTGGTTTTCTGGCTTGGGTTCCACTGATTGAGAATGGGACAGAGGCAGCTGCTTGGGAAGTAAAGCTTGAGAGCAGAACAGGAGTGACAAGTGTGAGAAAGGCACTCTTATTCAGCGTGGCCTGAGCGGATTTCAAAGCAGCTCCTGGGTGAATTTGGCCACGGACACACAGTCACATGGCCGAACTGGATGGATTCATGGAGACCTTCAGGTCTGAAAAGGAATTAGAGTTTAACACCTGAAATTACTTCTCCAGAAAACTGAGTCACACAGGCAATCCGGGAAGATCCAGGCCCGAGATAAAGAAGGCAGCAGAGACCAAACCCTCTTCCAATAATGGGAGGTTCAGCTCCGAGGGCCAGCGCCACTCAGACAGTACCGAGCCCGCCTCCTGCCCTCGGGGCATCGTTTCTCATTGCCGACCATCCGCGACTCCCTTCCCGATCCAACACTCAGCCTGCGGTCCCGGGCACCCTCACTTCCCAAGCATCCCGCTGCCTCCGCTCCCAGGTCCGACCTCCTCCCACCCGGCCTCCCGCGACCCCCTCCCGCGAGCTCCGCGACAGGGGTCCAGCCCCCAGCTACCCGACCTCGGAGCCCCGGCCCCGTCTCCCCCCAACCCACAGCCCGGCCTCTCGATCTTCGGTCCGCCTCCCGTCCCCCGGGCTCGGCATCTCCAGCCGGGTTTCCGCTCCCCGGCCCGGTCTCCCGTCCCCCTGTCCTCCCCCACCACCCTCCCCCAGCCTCGACGCTCCCGGCTCGGCCTCTCGATCTGCGGTCCGGTTTCCCGGGTCGGCATCTCCAGCCGAGTCTCCGCCGTCTGCCTCCACACCCCCGGCCCGGCCTCCCGACCCCAGGCCGACTCTCTCGCTCCGTGGGCTGCAGGCTCGTCCTCGCACTCGTCGTCGTGGCAAAACAAAGGATCCGCAACCCGGACTGTGCCCATCTCCTCCGTCTCCTCGGAGCAGCCGCAGGGCCCAACAGGTCCCCGGGGCGCGCGCTGGGCTGCAGGAGATGGAGGGAGCGGGCCCCGGGCTGACGGCGCCGCGGCGAGAAGACAGGAGGGCAGCACTCACCGCTCAGCCTCCACGCACCACTCCGCGCCCCTCAGCTCTGCGCCCCGCCAGCTCCGCTTCTGTAGCCCCCACCCTGTCCGGCTCAGCTCCGTTCCGAGCACGGCCCGCCCCCTCTGGCTCCGCCCCCTCCGCGTCGACGTGTCTCCCGCCCCGCCCCACCCCGCCCCCGCCCCGAACGCCGCTCCCACAGAGGCCCGGAGCGCTCCCCGCTCGCCCGCCCGCCCGCCAGTCCAAGAACATCGTCCCCTGCCTCCTCCAAGCCGCCCCTCACAGGCCCGGCGCGCTCTGACCCCGCCCCCGCCGCAAGAACACCGCCCCGCCCGGAGGGCGCGCTCTCGTAGGCCCGGCGCTCTCTGGCCCCGCCCCCGCGCAGTGAACACCGCCCCCCCCCGGAGGTCGCGCTCTCATTGGCCCGGCCCGCTCTGGCCCCGCCCCCGCGCAGAGAACGCCGCCAAGCACCGCCCCGAGGCCGCGCTCTCACGGGTCCGGCGCGCTCGGGACCCGGCCCCGCGCCAGGTTTGAAGACGCGTTAGCGCCACCGTGGGCAGGTCTCAGGTCCCGCCAGCCAGAGAGGACACGTGGGTGTCCCCCCCCCTTGCGGGGGGTTCTGGAGGGAAACGGAGGGAGACCGGAAAGCCGCGCCAGGCCCAAGGGGCAGAGAGACCGGAGTCGAGGGCGGGCCTGCCGCCCTGTTGGACCTCTGGGAGGAAGGGGAGCAGGCCGACCCGCGCTGGTAATCTCCCCTTCCCCCGCATGACCTGAAGCCTTTCCTTAGGTCCCTTCCAATTCGTCCCTAAATCAAAAACCTGCACTGCCTACTGGTTCCCCTCTTTTGGGTTACGAAATCCTTTCAGACTCTGATGCAAACTATGAATCATTTTTGCAGAAGAAGAAGAATCTACCCACACAAATGACCAGGAAATTGCGCATCCAATTTCTAGAGATTCATGATATTCTGACAAGTCAGGGACCCCGTATTAAGAACATTTGTGCCTATTTGGGTATAAATCAGGGGCCGTATTTTGTACATAAGTATACATCATTATATATGTGCTACCGTTTGTTGAGCGCTTGTTCTGTGCTCTTAGGTGTGCCCAAATGCATTTTCTTGTTTTAGCCTTTCAACAACACCGGGAGGTAGGAATTCCAGTCCCCACCAGGGCTTAAAGAGGTTAAGTAGTTTGTTCTTACTAAAAGGAGAGTTACAGGAGTTAAACTCGGATCCCAGGAATAAAACTTAGGCCTTTCTTTATCCCTCCCAAATTGAGAGAAGATGAATATTTGGCTATCCTTTTTCTGCTGCGGTAAAACTGAAGAATAGGACCCACTCCCAACCCTAAGTGGTTCAGCATGCAGTTATTCATAAGGAAGGCGCCAGTATAATTCATCAAGTCCTGTTATGCCGTGGTGATGCCCAAACCCCTTCCTGTGCTAAACTTTCTTTCTTTCGTTTTTTTTGCTGAGGAAGACTGGCCCTGAGCTAACATTTGTTGCCAATCTTCCTCTTTTTTTTTTTTTTTTTTGCTTGAGGAAGATTAGCCCTGTGCTAACATCTGTGCCAGTCTTCCTCTATTTTGTATGTGAGTGGCTGCCACAGTGTGGCTGAGGAATGTTGTAGGTCAGTGCCTGGGATCCAAACCCATGAGCCTGGTAGCTAAAGTGAGCAAGCCAAACTTAACCGCTCTACCCACAGCTGGCTCCTCTACTAAACTTTCTTACCAAAATGATGCTTCAGTTAAAGCTACAGCAGTTTTCTGTTTTTGTGTAAATTATGCTAATTTACTTAGTCTAGAGAAACTTTAGTTACAGTAAAACAGTTGTCTGGAGGCAATGTCTTCTGACTGAGTCCAGTAATTTGTTTTTACAGAGCTGTCTCAGAGGTGGCAGAACTTGATCCGGGCCTTGAAGGGGAAGAATTTGGGAAAGGTAAGTGGGGCATTCCAGGTGAGAGAAATGTATGGGCTCTTGGAGTGGGCCAGGGGCAGAGAGTGGTCATTATCATTCATTTGGTGATTATCATTCCGTTGGTTCAGAAGGCCAAATGATAAGGAATAAAATGTGTAAGTGATTTAGGGCCAGATCCTGGAGAGTTTGGACTTCTTGATATTATCTATAGTGTGAATTGAGTGTTGCTCTGAATCATTAATGAGTGTCCCTATGAAAAATTATGAAAAATAGTTTTAAAGGTGATTAGTCTGGCAGGGTTAGTCTGTTTGGGTGGGAGAGCCTGTGGAGGTGGTAGAAAGGGGTAAGTGGAAAAGAATGACATATCATGTGTTTTCTTATCCATTACAGGAGAATTTTGGGAAATTTAAATATGAGTTACTTCTGTTCAAGCATAGACTGGCAAAGTGACTGAAGTGGAAGAAAATCAAATTCAGTCAGTATATTTAATTTCTTAAGGTTATTCATCTGGGAAGTAAACATATATTAATATTACTGTTAATGAATTTTAATCATGTACTTTATTATGAATACTTTAGCAGTGGGAGAAATAGTATAAATGTTTTCCAAGATGCCATAAAAGAGATTATAGTAAGTAAACATTGCCAAACACCAGAACTTTACTAAATACTAGAATTAGAACATACATACAGAAAACACAAAATACTGATGAATCTATTCTCAGGACAGAGTGGGAAGCTGGAGTTGGGGAATGGAAATTGACTTGTGATTAGACAAGAAAAGAAAGAAACTAGGAGATGTGGCCTAGGGAGAACAGGGCGAGGCAGGCTTCAGGTCTCCCTAGAAGCCAGTAATTGTGAAGCATGCAGCCCCAGCCAGCTGTTCCTGGGCACCAGGCCGTCACGTGTCCTAGCTGGGCAAGTTGAGGCATAAACCCAGGGAAACCAGGGCTCCTTGGGTTGGCCATCTGAGTCATCTCTCCACCTGCATCCCCACGTCCCCTTCTCTCACTATACTATAGTTACTCTAAAAGGACTAAGCCAGCCTTTTTTCTAGCCCAACCACCTTTAGTTGTAAAACTGGTATCAAACATGGTTAAATAAATATTCAGGTGCAACGTTAAGAAACAGTACAGCTCCTAAGCCTACTATTTTAAAATACAACAAATATTTTTCTTTGGAACTTGGAAGCTGTTACCAAAAAGAATTACAGTCCCTGTGTGAAAGGGGTTCTGATGTACAATTATATAAAAGAAAGACAGCACTCTCCCCACTAGGAATTAAAGGCGTTTCTAAAATGATGACATATTCTCTCAGAGGGTAAGGCTGAGGAATATGATAGTCTGAAACCAGAATGCCAGATGCCTTCCTGTTCTCTGTTTCCTTTGCTTTTGTCAGTCAACTTCCTGCTCAAATAGTACAAGCTCCAGTTGTCTTCTAACCCTCAACCCAGCTGTTAAAATAGTCAAACTGTGCAAAGAACGCGAGGGCTAACATATATTGAACTTCTCTTTTTTTATCTCTGTTGACGTTCATGGTTCCCTCAGTCTGGTGAGTGTCAAACTAGTTTTCCACTGACTCCTTCGCTTTCATGTATGACACTCTCCCGTGGTGGTACCAGTATTCTTACAAAATCAGAATTTTCCCCATATCAGCGTCACTAAGTGTGAATGTCCACATGGTTATTCCTAGTCAGTTGTTGGTTAGATATAGAGCTAGAAATCATATGTGATTGTATTCTGTGTTTATTTTCTTCATTAAGTAATCAGTGGACTTCATTAAAAGTTAATTTCATAGGAGAACATCAGTTTCTCAGATTGTCTAAATGTAGGGGATTTCTAGCTGTATGCGAAGCAGATTGAAGTAAACTGAATACTAAGACTCTTTCTAGCAATAAGGAGCCGTATCACTTTGTACTGAAGAATTGAAGCAGTTTATTTAAAATTGCTCCATCTTTTTAATCCATTGAAATTGTATTCCTTTCCTAGGTATATCTGATATGAAATTTATATTGATACCTTTAGAATTGTATTCCTTGTTTCTTGGTTTATAATTTATTTTATTCTATTTTATTTTATTTTATTTTTGAGGAAGATTAGCCCTGAGCTAACATCTGCCACCAATCCTCCTCTTTTTGCTGAGGAAGACTGGCCCTGAGCTAACATCCGTGCCCATCCTCCTCTGCTTTATATGTGGGACGCCTGCCACAGCATGGCTTGACAAGTGGTGCGTGGGTCCACACCTGGGATCCAAACTGGCGAACTCTGGGCCACTGAAGCGGAACGTGTGAACTTAACCACTGCGTCACTGGGCTGGCCCCCTTGGTTTATAATTTATAATTTTCATGTGGATAAGGTGGATAACTTTGAGAGAATAACCTTTCTTAGGTCTGTTATGTTTGAAGTTAAATTTGAAATCTAACAATGTCATGATATTCCTACCCTCTCTTAATCTTTTAGGGTGATTCTATTTTTCCTTCTAGGGAATATATCATTTGCCATTGAGGTTGTGTTGTTGCAGAGTTTTTGGCTAAAATTCAAGAGAATATTTATCAACTTGATAAGCACAAGTACTGGAAAGGCAGTGCCAAAGGTACGTAAGAATATTACCCTCAAATGCTTTAGTATTTATTATTATTTCACTTTAAAAAACTAATATATCTGTTTTCTACATAGATAAATTATGACATAGATGATATTAATGAAGAGGGAAACTGTATCAGTGATCTATTTCTGTGTAAAAACTAAACCAAAACTTACTGGCTTTAAAAAAAAAAAAAAACCAACAACAAATTAATTTTTTCTTCTGTCGGTTGGCCGGGCAGTTTCTTTGGCAGAGCTTACCTGCACTCAGGCTTACTCATACGTTGAATTCAGATGATGTGTGGATGATCCAAAATGGCTTAACTCACATATCTGATAGTTGGTGCTGGCCGTTAGCTGGGATACCTTGCTTCTTCTCCAGATGGCCTTGTATCCTCTATGAGGCTGGAGTTATAGCAGAACAATCTCAGGGCAGGCCTTCAGGATAGCCAAATCCAGTGCAAAAGCAATTATTAAATCTCTGCTCGCTTCTCATTTGTCCATGTGACATTGGCCAAAGCAAGTCACGTGGCCAAGCCCAGAGTGAGTAGGGGAGTGGGCTTAGATGGCATCTCTTGATGGGAGGAATGGCAAAGAATTTGTGGCCATTTTTTTATCTATAATGGAAGCTTTTCCTCCCTTCTTCTAAAAGACCGATCCTATTTCCTTTGTAAGTAAAACCATAATCCCAAATTGGAAAGGTATTGCCTGGCCCCCTTAGCTTGGCATGGCTAACAGGAAGTATTGTATACAAATAAAAACACATGTCATTAATAAACAAGAGTTAAAAGACAATCATTTCACATTGGCTACTCACAAAAATACAGTCATTGAATTAACAGACAAAGGTTCAGATTTATTTATTCCTTTCTTAAATCATGCTTATGATAACCATAGACATCCTAAACCAAAGCTAGCCAATATTGTAATTCCCATTCATACACTGAGTGATCCTCCCAACTTACACTTGTGTTGGGAGAAAAGAAGAGCAATGAATGGAAACAGAGGAAAATGGAGCTGAGACCTGCCCAGTGGTGCCAAGAAATGAACCTCACGCTAAGAAATAATAGCACAAGAATGATGGGCAAGGAAGTAGCACTAGCTGGGCAAGGTAGATAGCGCTTGATGCAATAAAATGGTTATATAATAACCAATATAATGGTTATAAAATAAATGGTTATAATACAAAAACGTTTATATTTACATGAGGCTTTGTAATTTATAAAACATCGTCATATATCTTAGCACGTGTACCCTCAAGTAACTACATAAAGTATTCAAGATGATAATGGTTCCCATTCTGCAGTTGATTAAGATTCAGGAAGCTTCATTAACCTGTCCAAAATCCTAGCACCATTGGATGGAAGAGCCAGGATCTAAAGATTTCTGATAACCAGCCCTGTTCTCATTTCACATTAAAACTTCATACAAAACAAAATATAAAGCAGATAAGGAAATAAACATTAGGAAGTGAGTTTTGAGGTTTTACTAAACAAAATGTATTCTAAATGAAGAAATTGATGTCCTTGTTTGTTTTAGTAGTAATTGACAGAAATCTTACATGTGACAGGATTAGTCTCCCCATACTTCTCAACCAATGAACAGAACATGGGAAGCCAAATTGAAGAAAATTGAAGAACGGGCATCGCTTTATGAGACGAAACCATTGTCCCCAGTGTACAGACCAAGATTGTCCAAGCCAGAGGAACCAGCTTCCATTTGGAAACTATTTTATCGGCAAACTGAAGCTTTTAATTTTGTTAAGAGTTGCCAAGAGGTAATTTTCTCATCTCTTACTTTTTTTTAGAGCTACTGTAATTTAAGATTTATAAAAACACGTGTTCGTCTTCATTTCAGGCCACATACTCTACCAAAAGAATTTAATCATGATCTTAATATCACAGTATTATGGAAAAAAACTCTATGAATATTAGCCATTTACTTAATAATGAAAAAGAATGAGATATCTCTTAATTTTTAAAATTTGTAATGACATTTAAATGAAACTGCTTAGAGGAAGGGCAACCATATTCTTGGACTGAAAAATAATAGAATGACTGAGTTTAAGAGTAAAATTAAAAAATTACCCACAGAAATATGAGGAAATGAATGAGTGAAGAGTGGGATTTTTAAGGATGAAATTAGGGAAAGGAGAATTGAATTTAAATGATAGGAAATGAAAATGTCTCAAATATTATATCGTAGAATTTATAAGCCCTAGAACTTAAACCATAGTTCAAAAGCACACAGGTATTTATCTTTCTGTTGTCTCCTTTTGTGCTTTGGCATAGGAAAGTGGATTTATCATAATAATTTCCAGCATATTAGGGGGAAGTGGAAGTAGAGTAATTTCCCTTGCAAGTGGGAGGAAGAAGTGCTTGCTACATGCTGGCTTTGCTAAGGGTGTGGTGCTCAAAGGTAAACAGATGTGTATTGCACGTCGTTTGTTTATCCGGCACTGTGGGGAATGTAAAGAAGTATAAGGAAAAGATGCATATACAAAATCTACCGTAAATATACTGTGTTCTGATTATTGATGCTATATGAAAATTCAAAGTGCTAAAACTTTTTAGGAGGAAGATCTTTCTTTCCTTACTAAAGAGAAGCTCACTCAGATGTCATCAGCATGGTTTAGGAAATATAGGAAGAACTTTTCATGCTCATTTTGTGTAAACCTAATTCAAGTATCAGAAAATACTGACAGATTCATTTGATCTTGAATTAAAAAAAAATAGGAATATGATTGCTGGATCATCACCACCACATAGGATCATACACCGTATAGGAATGTGATTGCTGGGCTTACCAATCACCAGTATATACAATTTATCTCAAGAAGATTTTTTTTGAAGATGATTAGCCCTGAGCTAACATCTGTTGCCAGTCCTCCTCTTTCTCCTGAAGAAGATTGGCCCTGATCTAACATCTGTGCTCATCTTCCTCTACTTTGTATGTGGGCCGCCTGCCACAGATGGCTTGATAAGTGGTGCAGAGGTCCGTGCCCGGGATCCGAACTGGCAAACCCTGGGCCACTGAAGTGGAGTGCACGAACTCAACCACTGTGCCATTGGGCCGGCCCCCAAGAAGATTTTTAATAGGGTCAAGCAACTTAGTCCTCCTCTTATTTCTTACTCATGAAATGAAAGTTTGTTCCTTTATAGGCTCAACAGCTACCTTTAGCTAAATAGAAACAAAAGAACTTGTGTATTCCTTTATTAGAAGAAACTCTTATGGCAGCAGACACCAACAGATCAGTGCCACAGCAATTAACCTTTAAAAAATTGGCTTCTCATAGAAAAGACAATTTATAGTTACTTGTTAGAGTTAAGCATTTAAAATTTTCCTGAAGCTTTTAAGATTAACTTATAAGTATTCCATTAAAAAAATTGATCCCCACATATTTTTGTATGTATTAAAGAATTTATTAATTAATTTTAGCCCAAATCATTTAAAATAATGTTTAGGTACTTTTAAAAAATAAGTTTAATTTCATAAACTAACAAAACTAGAATAGGAAGTTAAACGAGAGTGATTGAACAGTTATTTTTCTCGTTTTTTTCTCTTTTTAATCTGGATATTCTAATTGTTTCTGCCTTGAACATGTATTACTTGAGTGATGAAAAATACAAATAACTAGATTTTGATTGGCATAGATCTAGTGATTATTTTTCTTGTTTTTAACAGTACAAATGTTCAAATTCTAGTTTTGGATGTATTGAATGGTACAATTTTTTATGAACATTGAATAGCTACAGTTTATTTTAGATTTGCATTTTATTAATTTTTTGAATATTATTTTTGGTTTTATCAAGGATGTCCATGTATTTGCTTTGGAACACAAAGGGGGCGATGGACAACGTATTTACCTCGTAACAACCTATACTGAGCTTTGGTTTTATTATAAATCCCGGTACGTAGTTTATCAAGGACAACCCATTAAACTAAAGTTACATTTCCTTCATCTAGTAATGTCTGTGAGATTAATTCAGGCTGAATTGGCTTTCATAGTTCTCAATCACACAATTAGTTACTCCTTTCCTACTAGAATTGAATTCTGGAGTTTCCTTGTCATAGTAACATTGAATTATCTCACTAGGTGTTGGGAGAAAAAAAATTGTGTGTGTTTTGAGTTCCTTTACTGCTTGTGCTACGTGATGACACAATTCCCACATTACTTTTCCTTGTTCAAATTACCACAGCCCTTTTCTTTGTATAGGATGCCATCCGAACTTCACTCTGCACAAGTTAGCATTTACCTATCAAGTCAGCATCTATTCTTATTAACCCATGTTAAAGTCATACCTCTTGATGCCAGCGAGAATGTAACTGCAAACGTAGGCACTGAAAGCTCATTGAAGTCAGGTGATCCCGAATGTTTCTAACCAATTTTTGAAATATTATCTTCCTAATGAAAATTTGAAACTTAAAACTTCTCATACAAAAGATTCATGGAATCTCAAGAATATGCGATTAAAGAAAGTGCTTTTCTCAAACAAAATTTGTTTCATGGTGACACCAAAAACAAATATAGCAGTGTTACACAATATCACAATCATCTGTGAATAAATAACACTATGAAGTTGACCATATTTCCCAGTTAAATAATGTTGCAGAATATGAGTGTTACCTCTTGTTTGATGGAAACTCTTGATACGATGATTGGTAAACCTATGGTGAGCAGTTCACTTTATCATGTCTTCCTTATGTCATAGTTATATGTCATTAAAATGCCGTTAATACAGTATCTTGAGATGTAAGATCAACGTCTGTGATTTAAAAGGTATAATATAAACCTAACAATCTTGAATTATTCAATTCAGAAAAAATCTCTTACACTGCTATGAAGTCATTCCTGAAAATGCTGTCTGCAAACTTTATTTTGATTTGGAATTTAACAAACCTGCCAATCCAGGAGCTGATGGGAAAAAGATGGTTGCCTTACTCATTGAGGTAAATTACAGACTCAGTTTTTTCTCATTACATCTTTCCATGTATCTCTTCAGTCACCATTCATTCATTAAGTGAATGCAGCCTCTGTAATATATACGTTCTGTGTTTCTTCTCCTTTTTCTTGCTACGCTTTCCTTTGATTTTCATTTCTTAATATCACTTCTCTGAGTAAACTTCTAAAAAGGAGGAAAGTTCAGTTTATGTCCATAAATTTAATATATCTAATAAAATCTTTGAAAAAGGTGGCAGTTTGGGAATGTTCTGTGTTTTAAAATTATATATTCTCTGACTTACAGATAGCTGACCCTTATGAGGATTATGCAAAGTAATTTTTACTGTAAAAATAGGTTACTGAGATAAACTTCAAGAAAACCTTTGATAAAAATAGTGTCAGAATTTTTGAGCTGGCAGGCATTTTGGAAATTATTCTATCTTGCACCATCATAAATGAGGAAACTAAGGCCAAGGGAGACTTAATTCCTACTCGAGGTACCGCAGCTAGTTATTGGCAAAGCCTGTTCTAGAAATACAGTTATCACTGTTTTTAACAAAGAGAAAAGAGTGTAGTTCTACTATGTATTTTTGATTTAGTGGTGTACACCAAGAAGTTACTAGTAAAAGGAATAATATGGACTTGTGCAACTAAGCTCTGTTAGTTTTGCTTATAAAATCTTTTAAGATTGTATTGCATTAAGTTGTGTTAAAATTATGTTGACCACTTTTTGGCCTCAGAGGAGGTATTAACATTTATTAACTGTTTTTTCTTTTAGCTGTTACCTGGAGATGACTCATTTTATAACTTTAAAAATACATCCAAATTAAAGTTTTTTGATAAATATCTACTGATTATGTTGAATCTCTACATGTTTTCTTTGAAAAATATTTAAATTATTTGAAAAATGTAGGCAAACATTGTTTTCGAAAAAAATCGTATAATGTTAGCTTTCTCCTGGCTTTGAAGCAGAATAAATATACATAAGTCCCCCTCTCCCCAAAAACCAAAAATAACAAAAAAGTTACATTTTTTTAAAATAGGCATTGGACCTTTAAAAATAAATTGAAATATTTTATTGCATTATAGTTGATAAATTGTTTAATTTTTAACCTTAATTGTGTTTTTAATAATTCATGGATACTGACTTTTTCTGGTGTTTGATACACTTCTACGGTCCAAGGTGGGATTTATTATGTGGGCTCTGTGTGGCCGACAAGGAATTAAGATTCAGAGATTTTCACTGGCACTTTAATATGGTGATACCAGTAACAAAGTACCACATTGTACTAGAAACTAGAAATATCCTTAATGGAATCAACACTGCTGCAAATCCCATTTGTAACATAGATTAATAAACACTGGGGTGGCAAAGATAATGTAGATGTTTAAAAATTTTTTCCTTCTAATTCTTTATACGGTCTTATCCAAATTAGTTTTGAACGACTAAACTTCTACATCAGCAAAAGTTGGACAAAGTTCTAGAAATCTGAGTATAAAATTATACAGCATTTTTATTTAACATGTTTATCATGTTGGTAGAAAAGTTATTAGGGTTATTTTACTTGGTATAACCTTTATAAATGATTATATTGAAATTAATTTCATTTATCGATTACTTTGTATGTAACAGGTATATAATCCAGTAAGTACTTTTCATTTTGAGTCTCTGTGTGAAGACATAAATTAAATTAGCTCTTATCTCAATTTAACAGATGGTTAATAAATAACTGGCTAATAATAACTACTGATAATATATAATGCCCTTTGATTCAATGACTTAGCTGACAAATTTCAGTAAGCCATTTCTCCCAATTGGAAAGCATTCTGATGCGAAAGCATTTTGTAAAACTATGTTGACAGGTAACATTGCTGAAATAATCCTATCTTTCTAACTTCTGGATTTTTCAATCTAAATATTTAAATAACTTAAAATTTTATTTAAAGTTAAACTTGGAAAAGAGAACTTAGGAGATTATGTTACTTTTATTACCTACAGAGTCATTATATTTATTCTGTATAGCTCCAGAATGCAAAACTAGGCTTTATTCATTTATCAAAATTTTTTCAGCCCCTAGTAAGTGTCACTGTGCTAGGCACTAGGAATACAATGGTTAGCCAAAGAGACGTGGCTTCTGCCTTCATAGAGTTTATAGTCTAATGGAAGATACATTAGGATAGATTTAGCTGCCATAGTAAAGACCTGAAATTAAGATGGCTTAAACAAGATAGAAATTTATTTCTCTCTCATGTAATATCTGGGTGTGGCTCCTCTGTGTTAGGGACTAGGCTTGTTGTTCTGCGCTTCCTAAGATGTCAAGATGGCTCACCACCACTATGTCTGCATTCTAGTCAGCGGAAAATGGGGAAAGGGCGGGCCTGCCCCTTGCCTTTAAGAAGTGGCCAGCTCTCCTTCTGTTCACATCCCATTGGCCAGAACTTAGTCACAGAGCCACACCTTACCGAGAAGGAAATGTGGTCTTTCTTCTGGGTGGCCTCTTATCTAACTAGTAATCAGGATTCTATTTCTACTGATAACCCTGAATGGTAGTTCTTAGTGACTTTGTTTTGCAAATGAGAAGACTAAGGGCTCAGGAGAAGTGACTTGTCCCGCGGCTGCACAGCTAATGCTTTTAAGCAGTTACACGTGCGAGGCGCTGTGCTAACTCTTTGCTCTCATTTTCTCGTTTACTCCTTACAACGATCCCAAAAGGCAGGTCCTATTATTATCCTGTTTTGCGGTTGAGGAATGTAAGGTTTGGTCTTGACGAAAGTCACAGCTGGTAAGTGGCAAAGCCAGAACTCAAACCTAGATCTTTCTGACTCCAAATCTTGTGCTCCTAACCTTATGCCTGCTGCCTCCCTATGACGCAGAACTGCCTTCAATATCAGCGTCATCTCGCCCTAGAGGCTATGTTCTTGGAGCTAGATTTGGGCTCAATATGTTTTGAGGAACTTTCTGAAAATTAAAACTATAAACAATGGAATTAGTGACTTTTTAACTCATAGATGATACTTAAAGAGTTGCTTAAAAAGGAATATTTTTGTGATTTTAGAGGATATTAAAGTCTAAGGTAAATTGGTTAACTTGTAAGAGGCCTTTAATCCTGAGAGCCTATGAATTTTTGAACATAAACGTGTAATATAATTTAAATATGATATGTATTACAATACATAAGTAATTTGGTGAAATTGTTATATAATAAATATTCTGATAGCAAATCAAAATAAAAAACAAGTTAGACTTGTACCAAGGTATTTGAATTTTGCACATGGAAAAATTTTTAAATTTATTATTTGCATTTTACTTGTGTTTTTAGCATGTTTGCAAAGCACTTCAAGAGTTATACAGAGTTAATTGTTCAACTGAGGATGTTTTCAACTTGGATTCTAGCACTGATGAGAAATTTAGCTGCCATTTAATATTTCAACTCCATGATGTGGCATTTAAAGATAACATTCATGTTGGTAAGTATACTCTTTTTTAAAAAGTCATGGGGTTATATTAAAAACTCATACTTTCTTTTTCCTCTTAAAATTTTGTGAGTATTTGTTAGGCTTATGGTTGTTAACCTGTTCTAAACAAGGAAATGTGATTTTTCACATTTTCAGGATTTGCCTTTAGTTCTAGGTGGATCTTCCTCTTCTAGACACATTTCAGACACATTAATCTACTCAGTGTATCTTTGGCATTGGTGCCTCTGGCTATAGGTATCGAGATGGTTATGCACGCCCTGGTACGGGTTTCTGCTCCAAGAGGAGTCATTTTGGAAGTTTTCTGGGTAGTAGCTGAGAGGCCCAGTTCAAGTCTTACCTGTGATGTCTTAGATCTGGATTTCTGACCTTGGCTTCAGCCTTGCCCTGGCCTTACATTTTAGTGCATGAGGACTGCGGCTTGGGTTCCAGGCCACATCCAGGAAGGCTCGTTTATTTTTCCAGGCTGAACCTCAGGGTTGGACATTTAGAGATATAGGCCCAGGTATAAAATGAAGACAGTCTGAAGGGGAGCAAAAAGGCAGAAGAGAACATGGAAAACCACAGTCTAAACAGAAGCCAAAATCCTGAGTGTTTATCAAAGCAGATGTAGGTAAAGTCTTCCTAGGTCCACGCAGCAGACAATTAACTGAAGTTCAGGTGACAGGTAATCCATTTCAGAACTACAAGTGTCTGACAGTTTCAAGGGTACCAAGGGTAAAAGGCATGAACATAGTCACTGAGGGACTGGCATAAAAGTCAGGAACCTAACTGCTAGATTAGGGTAGCACTAGGTCACAGTGACTTAGCATGCTATATTCGTGGGGCTCCTTCTTATCTCCCTGTTTTCTGATAGCTTAGTTGGATATTCCTTCTCTGTCTCTCTCTTTCATCCCTTAGATATTACTAATTGTGCAATCTATCCTTATCCCTCTGTTCACTCTATCTGTAACCTTGAGGATCATCGTCTGTCATGGCTGTGATTACTATCCACGTGTTGACGACTCTCAAATCTCCATCTTCAGCCGAGATTGTTCTCCTCCACGCCAGACTCATACGGCCAACTGCCTATTAAACATCCCCACACAGACACTTCAAACGCAGCATGTCCTCGACCAAACTCCTCATCTTTTCCCCAAAACGTACTCTTTCTCCAGTGATATGTGTATCAGTGAGTGGTATCACGATCTACCCGACTCCCCAGGAAGACATGGTGGTGTCATCTTTGACCTCCGTGTCGCTCAGCTTACTTATTTAGTGAGCCAGTTAGAGCAATCTCATTCTGCCACTTATGTGCCTCACACCCTTCAAGGATTATTCATTGCCTTCAAGAAAAAGCCCAGATGTCTTAGTTTGCACAGTGAGGCCCACTGTGCTCCAGCCTCATCTCTCACCACTTGGCCCTTCTCATCTCCTTTACTCAGCTCCCGTTGGGGCCACATTTTCTCTAATCCCTGGGCCTTTGCACTTTTTGATGCTGCTGTCTCAATGGACATGCCTCCATTCCACCTGGTTTGTTAAGACTCAGTGTAGATATCCTCATCTGAGAACCCATTTCTGTCACATCCCAAACCCTAAGACTTAGGGTAGTGTTTCCTCGGGGTCGCAGAGAGCACCCAGTGCTTATTGTGTCAAAGCTTTCACCACTTCCTGAGGTAATTTCCTGTTTTTTTTAACCTTCTCTATTCCACCTACCATTTCTTTAGGGCAGGGACTCTTTCTTAGTCACTTATTTCCAGAGCTTATCTTATAATAATATCTTTGTCAATAATAATATAACAATAACAGCAGCATCAATAATAAATACAAGTAGGCACTTAATAAATATTTGCTGAGTGAATGACTGAATGTCAAGTGGGCTCTACTGTCAGGGTGTCGGGGCAGAGTCCTGAGCGAGATATTCCTTTGATTCCTATTTACTCCTCCAAGACTCCTAGCCACAAAGCTAAAAATTGAGATTTGTTGCTAGGGAAGAAGGAGAGGATAGAAATTTGTCAGTCTCTGCTATAGATCTCTTCTGAAAGCAGATGACATTCAAGCTGGGCTTCAAATCAAATTCCATCCTCTAGACAAGGGTAAGAAAGGCTTTACTGACAGAACAGCCTAAGCAAAAGTGGAGCGATCCGAGTTGGTGGCGAATCTGGGGGGCAGTGGGAGTATGGAGTGGCTAGAGTGAGAGACACAGCCAGACCTGCTAAATGGATGCCATCCAAGGCGTCTTTCCTCTAAATTTAGGAACTGCCAGAACCAGAGATGCAGAGATTGTGAAATACTAGTCCAGATTTTCCCTTTCAATTCCTCTCCCTCAGTGTATCCATTGGTGCCATTTCTAGTTCCTATTGTCAGCCTTTCAGAAAGGGGAATTAGGGTAATTGTAAGAGATCATAGAATGTTAGCAAAATGTATAAATTTGATTCTGCCTGCCTGCCATAGGATGTGACATTTCTATGACTGATACGTTCTTTTGAGTTATTCTCAGCCACTGAAATTGCCCCTGTATTAATGATGAGGTGAGGGTGATAAGACTGGGGAAGGGAAGTGGAAAGCAGAGTTGTTTGCTGGGAGGCTGTGTTGGCAGTTATTGCTGGTTACACAGTCACCATATCCTGGCCACGTTAGCTCCCTGCCAAAGGTCAGGAGCTCCTTGCCTACCTTAGCAGCTGGTTCTGCAATCATGCCTTCCCTCTCTCGTTGCCTAGTGTCAAGTAGATGTAATTATACATTTCCAGGGAAATTAACTTTATCAACTTATGTTTGTGTTGCATTGTTGTCCTTTGATATATCATGATTTCTTTTCACTCAGTGTTTACCTTATTTCCCTCATTCTAGACATAATCATGTCTGCATATCATTGCAAGAATCAAATGCTTTTGCTTTCATTTTGATGTGTAGTGTTTTATAAGATAGCAGATTTGTTTCTTTGAATAGGGGAGTAATTAAGTCCGATTTGGAGAAGGAGAATTTTGGATTTAGAGTATGTATATCTTATGATTTAAGGGATCAAGGTGTCTGGTAAATAAAGTGACAAACCCAGATATGCCAGTGTTAGAAATTAAAATTAAATTAAGTTTTTCTTAAAGTATTGCATTTCTCCAGTACCGTTTTACATGAATCAATTTAACCAAGTTATTACTTGATTTTATGGTATGAATAATTTATGAGAGCTTAAAGAAGTTCCAGATTGTTATGTCATCTTTTCTTGGTGAAGATAGGACCACTAATATTTAGAGCTCTTAGAATAAATGTTGAAAATACAATAAATGTGTTTAATTGCTTTAGTTCTGGACTTTAGTTCTGAGGTCACGACCCATCTTGTGACCATTAGTAGGGAGAGTCAGGAGGAACAACAACTTTGGAACTGATAGCTGTGGATGTCAGGGTTCTTAGAGCATATTATTTCAGGTAAAGGAGGGAGAAGACACTCCTGAGGAATTTGCTGACGTCCTGACTCAAGGAGAACGTGGCAGAGACTCTCTCAGGGTTTCTGTGCATTATCTTGGCAGCACCATTTACTCATATCAACATTACATTCTTTTTTTTTTTTGAGGAAGATTAACCCTGAGCTAACATCTGTGCCCATCTTCCTCCACTTTCTATGTGGGACGCCTACCACAGCATGGCTTGCCAAGCTTGCCATGTCCGCACCCAGGATCTGAACCGGCAAATCCTGGGTGGCTGAAGCAGAACGTGCACACTTAACCACTGCACCACCAGGCTGGCCCCATCAACATTTCATTCTTTAATCATTGATTGTGAAAATAAACTCCACTCAACTTCTGTGAATAAAATTGGTGCTTTTTTGGTGACAACACATTAGGCTCAGGTCCATACTAGCAACATTGACACATCTTCTCAAATGAACCTTCCCTTCTAAGGTGATTTGTTTGTAAGTGACACCAAGCTCCCCTGTCAATGGGAATTGAGAAAGTAAAAGATTGCACAAGAGGAAGGAAGTAACAGGAGAGGCATGTTATAGTTTGTAATAGCAACTCAGTTTTAAAACCAGAAATCTAAAAAAGAAGTCTTCCTGTGTAAAATTGTATGTGTAGATTTGCGCCTAGATCTTAAGTTATGGCTTGCGGAAAAGAAGAGTTAGATTAATCATATTTCTTTTTCTTAGGTAATTTTGTGAGAAAAATTTTGCAGCCTGCTTTACACTTAATTGCCAGTGAAGATGATGATAGGAATCCAGAAACAATGGACCATGGATTTTCCCATTTTTCTGAAACACCAATTAAACAAGAAATTTCCTTTAGTGAAATGTCCACAGATAAGGATGTAGGAGAGAGCTGGACATTGAATTCAAAGGAACAGGAGAGGCTGGGGTCAGCTAAGCAAAGCAGTCCTGACCTTTCGTTTTTAGTTGTGAAGAATAACAAAGGAGAAAAACATCTTTTTGTAGATCTAGGTAAGTAAAATTGACAGCTCTCTATTAGACTGTCCTTGTGTACTTCTGTGAGAGACCAGTCGGTACCCACTTGTCCATTTGCTTAGGATTCTCGCTACCACCACTGCTCCACCAGTGGGGTCACCAGCATAATGTGATCAGTGAGCCCAGGTGGTAGAAATCTGCTAAGTTTCTGCTCAGAGGTCTTAGAGAGGTCCTTGTGGGACACAAGCACCAGGCTGGCCTGAGCTCCAAAAGAGAATGCTCGTGGCTGGCTTCTGCTCTGAAATGTCCAAAGGATTCCTATCAGGGGAGTCTTGACAGGGGACACTTGGACCAACACTCTCCAACACTGCTGAGAGGTTTAATTAGATAAAATAAATTTTAATAACAGACACAATATAAAAATGGTACTCTGATATGGCAAAGTAAGGCTGGCGTTCTCTTCACTGAAGAGCTTTGCAGCAGTGGCACGGGCTATTTCATGAGCTTTCCTGCTACAGTCAGACCGGTGGCATCTTCAATGGTGCTTTCTTCTACTCTGCTTGCCTCTGGTCTCTGAGCCTCAGGATGTACACAGCACTGTATGGCAAGACTTCAGCTGATTAGGTACCACATTAGGCCGGTCAGGACCCCTAGTTCAGCCAGCTCCAGTTTGCTGAACCAACCCTCATCTTTATATTGAGGTTCTAGCTTGTGATTCGAAAGGCCAGACAGCAGCATTTTTGCCATTGACTTTCAGAGCACTTCAGGGAGCTTCAATGTCTACAGGTTGAGAGAAAGTAGATTTAAATTACAGGCAAGATTACCCGACCGACCAGGTCCAGAGCAGGGAAGTGTTCCTGCTGTGTTGTGTATCTTTCTAGCACCCCTGACAAGCAAGTGCCGGAATTTGGAAATACAGTCAGAGAGGTGCAATGGACTGATTTGGGTGTGAACAGTCCGTGTGACTTATGAGTAGAGGAGCATTCTTCCAAATGGCAAGTTTTGTTTTGTTAGCAGGACATCCTCTCCAATTTGGACTAATGTGCAGAAAACTAGGGAAAAGGCCTAATAGGCAGTTGAGGCAGCGAGAGCAGCGAGAGCTCACTGTGCTCTCCCTCTCCCCGAGTATAAAAGCCCCTGAGTGGATTACCCCGATTCCTGGCAGCTCCAGCCTTGAAAGTTAGGTTACTGGACTAGCACGGAAATTGTTCTGATGTGCTTGAAAGAAGTACTTCAACAGTAGAGCCAGGTTTATTTATGTCCCAAAGCGGACGGGGAAGTCATCCCCTCAAGTATCCTTTGAAAAGTTCAGAGCTTTAATAGGACAGGCTAACATCTTTTTAGGAAACTTTTTAATTGAAGTATAGCGTTGCAACAGAAGCATGCATAACTTGTGAGTTGAATGCACTGATCAGTGAACTATCACAAAATGAACACACCCTGTCACCACGCCACCCAAGACAAGAAATAGAAGATTACCAGGACCCCAGAACCTCCTCCATCTCCCTTCCAGTCAGTACCATCCCCCCACCAGAGGTAGTCACTAATGTATCTCTAACACCCTTCATTAGTTTTTGCCTATTTTTGAACTTTTTACAATTGGAATCATATAGGATGTGTTTGTGGCCTGCCTTTTCACTCTCTTAATTGTGTCTTTGGTGAATAAAAGTTACTAACTTTAAATAGTAGTAGTAGTCTAATTTATCAATGTTTTCCTCTGTGGTTAGTGTTTCTTTTATCTTGTTAAAGAAATCTTTCCCTATCTCAAGGTCATATAGATACTCTCCTGCTTCTAGAAGCCTTATTTTTCACCTTTTGTACTGTATTTAGATCTACAATCCACTTGGAATGGATTTTGCTTATTGGATGAAAAGGAGTCAAGATTCGCTTTTTTTTCCTATGTGGATATCCATTTCTCTCAACACTATTTGTTGAAATAACTGTCCTTTTTCTAAAAGGACATCTTTGTCATAAATCAAGTGTCCATATATGTTTAATCTGTTTCTGGACTATGTTCTGTTCCATTGTTCTGTTGATGTATTTTTGCACCAACACCACAATTGTCTTAATTAATATGGCTTTTTTTTAAGTCTTGATATCCAATAGGATAACTCCTCCAACTTTGTTCTTTATTTCTTGGCTATTGTTGGTCATTTGCATTTCCATTTAAATTTTAGAATCGACTTGTCAGGTGTCTCTCACACACACACACACACACACACACACACACACACACACACACCCTGCTAGAATTATGATTTAGATTCCACTGGATCTATAGATCAACTTGGGGAGAAATGACATTTTTATAATATTGAGTCTTCCAATCCATGAACATGCTATGTCCCTCCGTTTACTTAGATGTTCTCTAATTTCTCTCAATAGTGTTTTATAACTTTCTGAATAGAGATCTTGTACATCTTTTGTTAGATTTATTCAAGATGTTTGCTTGTTTTTTGGCTTAAACAACAAACATTTATTTCTCACAGTTCTGGAAGCTGGAAGTCAAGATCAGGGTGCCAGCCTGGTTGGGTTCTGGTGCAGGCCCTGTTCCTGGTTTACAGAAGGCTGTCTTCTCGTTGTATCCTCACATGGCAGAGAGACAGCAAAATTTAATTTTTTGATTCCTCCCCCTTCTCTGAGATTTTGGCACCACAAATCCTTGCTGCCTTGGAAACTCTCTAATAGTCTCAAACTTTTCTTTCTATCACATTTGTCTAGCTTTTCTATTTATTTACAATAGCAGAGTTGCCCCCCAGAATCTAGTTTGCTATTTCTGGATGTGGCATTCTTCCATGCCAACTCTAATTTATTTTAATTTATATTGCTTTTATTTTGTTTACAGCTGGTAGAAAATAATTGTTTCTCTCTTTTTTTGTTTTTATTTTGTATTTTTTTTGTTTGTCTGAAGATGGTTTTTTTCACCTTCATTTTATTGTTTTTTTTATTGAGGTATAATTGACATACTACATTATGTTAGTTTCAGATACACACATAATGATTCTATCTTTGTATATGTTGCAGAAGGGTCACCACACTAAGTCTAGTTAACATCCATCACTATACATAGTTACAGAAGTTTTTTTTCTTGTGATGAGAACTTTTAAGATCTACTCTCTTAGCAACTGTCAAATATGCAACATCGTATTATTAACTGTAGTCACCATGCTGTACGTTACATCCCCAGACTTACCTATTTTATAACTGGAAATTTGTATCTTTTGATTCCCTTCACACATTTGGCTCACCCCTCACCCTCCACCTCTGGCAGCCACCAGTCTGATCTCTGTTATCTATGAACTTGGTTTTTGTTTTTGTTTTTTTAGATTCCACATATAAGCGAGATCATGCAGTATTTGTCTTTCTCTGTCTGACGTATTTCACTTAGCATAATGCCCTCAAGGTCCATTCATGCTGTTGTAAATGGCAGGATTTCTTTTTTTTATGGCTGACTAACATTCCATTCTATATATATACCACATTTTAAAAATCTGTTCATCCATTGATAGGCACAAGTTGTTTTCGTATCTTGGCTACTGCAAATAATACTGCAGTGAAAGGATTGCATATATCTTTTCAAATTAGTATTTTTGGTTTTTTTGGATAAATACCCAGAAGTGGAATTTCTGGATCATATGGTAGTTCTATTTTTAATTTTTTGAGAAACCTTCATACTATTGTCTATAGTGGCTGTACCAACTTACATTCCCACTAACAGTGCACAAGTGTTCCCTTTTCTTCACATCTTTGCCAACACTACTTGTTACTTTTTATCTTTTGATAATAGCTGTTCTACCAGGTGTGAGGTGATTTCTCATTGTTTTTTTTTTTTTTTTTTTTTTGAGGAAGATTAGCCCTGAGCCAGCATCTGCTGCCAATCCTCCTCTTTTGGCTGAGGAAGATTGGCCCTGAGCTAACATCTGTGCCCCTCTCCCTCTATTTTATATGTGGGACGCCTGCCACAGCATGGCTTGATAAGCAGTGTGTAGGTCTACCCCCGGGATCTGAACCAGCGAACCCCAGGCCACCAAAGCAGAACGTGCAAACTTAACCACTGCGCCACCAGGCTGGTCCCTCATTGTAGTTTTGATTTGCATTTCCACGATGATTGGGAATGTTGAGCATCTTTTCACATACCTGTAGGCCATCTGTATGTCTTCTGTGGAAAAATATCTGTTTAGATTTTCCGCCCATTTCTAAATTGGATTGTTGGTTTTTTGCTATTGAGTTGTATGAGTTCTTTATATATTTTGATATTAAACCATTGTCAGATATATGATTTGCAAATATTTTCTCCCATTCAGTAGGCTGCCTTTTTATTTTGTTGATGATTTCCTTTGCTATGCAGAAACTTTTTAGTTTGATGTAGTGTCCCACTTGTTTATTTTTGCTTTTGTTGCCTTTGCTTTTGGTGTTAAATCCAAAAAACACTTGTCAAGAGTGATGTCAAAGACCTTATTGCCTATGTTTTCTTCCAGGAGTTTTATGGTTTCAGGTCTTACATTCAAGTCTGTAATCCATTTTGAGTTAATTTTTGTGTATGATGTGAGATAGTGGTCTCGTTTCATTCTTTTGCATGTGGCTGTTCAGTTTTCCCAGCATCGTTTATTGAAGAGATTGTCCTTTCCCCATTGTATCTTCTTGCCTCCTTTGTTATAAATTGATTGACCATATATACATGGGCTTATTTCTGGGCTCTCTTTTCTGTTCCATTGACCTGTGTCTGTTTTTATTGCCTATCCCATACTGTTTTGATTACTATAGCTTTGTAATAGAGTTTGAAATCAGGGAGTGTAATGCCTCCAGCTTTGTTCTTCTTTGTCAATATTGCTTTGGCTATTCGGGGTCTTTTGTGGTTCCATACCAAGTTCAGGATTGTTCTATTTCTTTGAAAAATGCCATTTGAATTTTGATAGAGGTTGCATTGAATCTGTAGATTGCTTTGGATAGTGTGGACATTTTAAAAATATTAATTCTTCCTATCCACGAGCACAGAATATCTTTCCATTTATTTGTGTCTTCTTCAGTTTCTTTCA